AGCTGAATATATATATATATATATATATATATATATATATATATATATATATACGGGTTTGCATATCAGGTTGTTTATGTCCAGATGACGAGTTCTGGTTACCTCAAGGATGGATTGATCGTCGACGATCTTGGTTAAAAGAGCGCCAACAAAAGAATCTCCAGCTCCGGTCGTATCCACCGTGTCCACATGGAATGGATCAATGGATCCATGAAAATTCTACAGTTTTTCGTAAGCAACAAGAAAAAGGACACTCAGAGTTTGCGAAGCGGCAAAACTAATGACGTTCAGAACAAATAATCACTATGATTCTTGTGACTCAGATCTGAATCAGTAACGAGGAACAATGCAAAAGCATTTATCTTTATTCAAAATGTTACATTCATTAGCATTTCTTTTCCAATTAGTCCATTATCAGCATGGTTCTTGATGATCAAGGCTCTACAAGATAACAAAAAAACCTTAAAGGTCACAACGTTGGCGTCCCCATATGATCAAGTTAATGATATCTGAATAAGAATTTAAACGGCAGTGGTTGAGATCAATTGACCTAACCTTAAACCCCACCCAAAAATATCCCGAAGAAGACCAAGTTGATCAAATGCATTACACCCTTTGACATTGCACTTGCCTTTCTAATCAATAGATAAAATTTGTTGCATCCTTCTCCAAAACAATGAACATAAAGTGATAAGAAAATCTGGCATCGTTTTGGTATTAACTAATGGACCCGACCAAAATGGCAAACAACAAACAGACAATTTTCTAATGCTTCCCTCGTTCCAAACCAAATGTACCAAGCAAATCACATACAACACAGGTGATGATATGAATACGAACAAGTTTCTCGATCATACCTTGGTGTAATACCGACAACCCTTTTCGCCGAGAGTGACGAGCAAGAGCTTCAAGCTGGGATGCCAAAGGGACAAGGCGGTCTCATCGTCGATCTTGTTGCTGCCAGTGAGGAACTCAAGCTCGACATCGCTGACCTTGATGATGTCAGCCTTGTCCCAAATGCTCATTATCTGCTCCCGGGCTTCGTCGGCCGAAGGCCATAGAGCTTCCCTGAGGTTCGGGTCGTAGGAAAGAAGAGCTCCGGCTTCTTTGGCGACTTCCATTGCCTTCAAATGAGCCAACCTACATGGCTCCACTATCAAGCTTATTGATCCGTAATGGAAAACTTTTGCCTGCAAAAGATTCCAGATTGATAAGAAACCCCAGCTTTTGTGTAGCTCATCAGACCACTAATCACCTCAAAAAAATTCAAAATTCAAACAATTAACCAAACCCCGCATGGAGTAATTAAAGTAGGACCCTTATTTTTCTATCTTCTTCCGTTTTGATCAATCATATTGTATTATCACAATGGGGGGTCAATCATTATAAGCTTTCCGAAGAAAGCAAGGGGTGGGAGCCATAAGATTAACTTTAAAGAGAACCTTTTTTTTTTTCTCCTCCCCTGTTTTAGGCTAAAATTTCCAACTTGAAATTATTCCCACATGACATTTCAGACACAAATAGAAAAAGAAAGCTTCACAACATATATGCACATGCTCTCTGGATCATCATATAAGAAGATCATAGTATTGACATCTTGAAATAGAAATTAAAGAGCACGAGTTCTACATGAAACAATAAACAAATGAAGAGTAGGGCTACAGAAACTAATGTAAAAGGCAAAATATCAGAAAGATACCCTTTCATTTCAACTCCAGATATTTCCAAGGCTTCTCTCAGAACCAGGACGGAAAGGACAAAACGAGATTTCATGTAAAATAAACCAATTCTCGTATTCACGTCAACAAAGTCCAAAAGAATCATGGGACCAAAATAAAAAAGATAGAATTTTGTCTTTGTTGTAACACAGAGTGCAGCACTTGCACATTTATCAATTAGAGAAAACAAAGAAAAAGACTGATATTTTCATGAAGGTTGATGTTTTGAATTGAACCATATGGACCCTCTCTCGAGGCAAAAACAAGGAAACGACAATGAGATCAGAGACGAACATCGTCACTACCCGTGAAATTTATCAGAGTCCCCTAAGGCTTTTCTAGAAATTCAAATCCTGAATTTCTCTCTTAGATCTCGTCAAAATCTAGGGAAAACAGTTATTCAGAAGATCACGAGGGTGGAATCGGGATCAACATTTCGGGAACATCGAGAGAGTGTGAAATTTGTACGTACGGATCTGATGAGCTCGAGGTTGAGTTCATCGGGGCGGAGTAGCATGTCGGCGCTGGGATTCCGGTAGAACATGAACTCTCGCTCTCCGTCGGATCGGAGGGTGACGAACGCGAGAGCCGTCCTGGCTCCTTTGTCGAAGTTGATGCCCTGATCGGCGACGCAGTTCTTCCTCAGGATCCCGGCCAACATATGGCCAAACTCGTCGTCACCGAGCTTTCCGACGAAGGCGGCACGTCCGCCGAGACGCGCGACGGCGATGGCGACGTTGGCGGGGGCGCCGCCGGGAGCCTTGAGGAAGCCGGGGGCATCAGCGAGGGAGACTCCGGAGACAGTGGGGACGAAGTCGATGAGCATCTCGCCGAAGCTCACGACGAGACCCTTTTCGCTGTTGGAAGCCATTACGATGAGATCAATCGGAGAGGAAGAAGAAGATCAAGAAGAAGAGTTATATAGGGAACGGGGGGTTGGTGGAGAGTAGGGGTGGGCCAGTTTAAGGGGAGAAAATCAGATGATAAAAAGATAATTCAAATTAAGGAAAATAACATATAAATAACTGGATTTTTTTAAAAAATTTATATAAATATTTAAATTTTAAAAAATTTCAAATAAATACAAATTTTAAATATTTTTTAAATAAAAATAGATGGTATTATTAGCGTATTTTGGATTTATTTGAGAATTTTTCAAAAATATAAATATTTATATAAGATTTTGGAAAAGTTCAGTTATTTATATAAAAATTTTATAGTTTATTTATTTACGTGAAATTTTTGTAAAAGTTGAGGTATTTAGATGTGATTTTTTCTTCAAATTAAAATGCATATAGAATTTACAAAAGAAAAAGAATAAGGAAAATAATTTTCACCCAAAATTTTGAAAAATAAATATGTAAATTCGTGTGTGTAATTAAAAAGGATCAGAATTTTTCCTTTTCCACGTGGAATTTCCTAATTATAAATAGCGTACTTTTTATAGACGATTATGCTAATATTATGTTGGTCAAAAGACAAATCGCTAAATACAATTTTGATAATATTAATGACAAATACCAATTTAATAGCATTCCTTGGATATATATATATATTTTTTTGTCAAAACTGCTAATTCTTAGATATTTATTTTTATATGGAAAAATTCTATGCACCTAACACCTCAACCGGTTTGCCAAGTCTCCCATTCAATAATAATAATAATAATAAACATTTATTAGTGTAGTTTGGAATAAAAATTTCAGAGTTGGCCACAACATTACAATGGTCTAAGCTCTCTTCTTCATAATCAAAACAGGAACCAACAAAGCGCACACTCTGCTCAAGTTCAAGCTTCTTGCTTGAAGCACAAAACTTCATATTCAGAATGTTATTCCAGAATCATCTGGAATCCTAATTCTAAAGCCAACCAAAAAAACACATTCCAAGTTTCTTGAATCCTTGGATTGGGAGACAAAGAGTTAATGGTGAAGATAACAGGACCGGATCAGGAGGTTCCTCATTTGAGTTCTTCTGCAATCTCTCGATCTGATTCTGACAATATTATTCCGTCCGTTAAGACAGAATCAGACTCGGGGGCATTTCCGCTCTCTCTCTGGTTCTGATCCGGTCTTTGCCCCTGGTTCATCATCGCTTCCATGTCCCGTAACCTGGTACGAACAACATTTGTCACCAGAACTGCACACAAGCAAGTAGATGATTCGGTTCAGTACATACATTATCTCATCCATCCACAGATGGTAACAGTCACGGGTATATAGAGATATACGAATACAAATATATACACAAATTAAGGGCGACAGAGAGAGAATGATACTGGCAGCAGTGCCGAAAGTCCAGATCCAAAGAATCTTCAAGCCAGGGTTCTGTTCTCTTCCCATTGCCAACCTATGCACCACCACAAGTCTTAGCTTCCAACTGTAAACGGAAATGTGAAGACTTGCCGCTTCTTTAAGAAAATCAAAATCGGCATTCTAAGCTCGAAATTTTAGCTCACAGTATATTTGTGTGCAACTGAGTATTGGATAACAAACATACAATAGCTTACATTCTAAAGTTGGACAAAGAGCAACTTGCTGTATAGTACATAATCAACAACATCATAAGAACAATATCATCCTCTCAACTAGTTAATATACATACATATCCATCCAATCTATGCACTTGCACATACATGGGGTACACACATCAAAGCATACATATGTATACACACTTGCACAATGCATCATATATGCATTTAGCTCTCAAAGACACTGCCTGCAGAACATTGCAAGGTGGGAATCCAAACACAGAGTCTTCCGCGGGCACAAGAAGCAGTTTTTCTTTATGGGACTTGAACTTTGGACAAAAACAGGAGGTTCATTTGTCTAAATCTTGATCTGAAACCCAGATATTATTGAATTTTTCTTTATGGAACTTGACTTTGGACAAAAACAAGAGGTTCTCTTGTCTAAATCTTGATCTGAAACCCAGATACTATTGAACCCAATTCTTAATATACTGAAAAGGGGTTTGATAAAATTGTAAATTAAGCCAAGACTAAATTGTTCAACACACCGAGAGAACTGATTGGGCGTACACGAGTGAACCCATATATTTTATTTCCGAATCAACCGCAGGAGGCAAAACCAGATAATCAAATAAAGGAGCTGTTGCAAACAATCGAAATATAACGGAAGGGGGAAGGGATAGAAAGGGATTACCTTTCTCGATTTACATAAACTAAAGGCGAGAACTTTAGGGTTGCACAAATTCAGGAGGATGAGAGAACGACCCAGATGGAGATGCGGCGATGGGGAAATTATGAAAGATCTCGCGAGTTTGTGGATTCTGAAATTGGAGCTTAGGGCGATGGACGATGAAGATTTGGGGATTTGTGTCCGTTGCTCTGAGTCTAACCACCGGTCGAGATGTGGGGTTTAAGCAAATGTTGGCCAACAACACATACCATAAGCTAAACCGGAACAAACCGAAATTAATTCAATTTTAAACCAAACTGATTGTTGGTCCGACTCCGATCAAAATCAAAAACAAAAACGATAAAATTTTCAAATTACACTACACATTTTGAATTTGACATGTTACGGAAAAGAATGTATTACAACGCAAAATCAAGCACCATAAAATCTCTGTTCGGACCATTATGAACTAGGGTTGGGTACGGGTCGGTACCTATGTTTTTGGAGATACATGTCTTCGTTTTCGTCTTCGTAGATTTTAGAGAAATGTTATCTCTGTCTCTATCTCACAACATCCGGATACCCGTCCAACGGATATCCATAACTAAAAGACGGATACCCGCGAGTACCCGTACCGTATATAAAATAATAAACAATATCAAATTAAATCAAATAATCAATAAAAATATACATATTTTATTCCAAAAATATATTTTTAAGTTTGAAAATTCTTAAAATATAATAATATGCATAGAATCCTAGAAACATTTTCAAAAATACACAATAATTTGAAGTTGAATCTATCGAAACTTGAAAATCCAATATATAATCCTAAAGGTAAGTAAAAATAACCTAAATATTTTCGAAATTATATTAAAAATATAAGATTAATTTTGTAATTTTAATATATATACGGGTACCCGCGGGTATCCGTTATTTCAATATGTAAAATCCGAATCTGAACCCATATGACGGGTATTCTAGTTTTTAATACTCATTTTCGTTTTCGTTAGGTGTCGAATATCCGTTTTTCGGATACCCATAAGATCGGGTATCCATTTATCCGCGGATAACGGATTTAAATACGCAGCTACTCCGGTACGAATTCTATAACTTAATATTTTTGGCTTGAGTAAGTCCAGTGTAAAATACATGTCCTGTATATTGCATACGTAAATATAATAAAAAACTTATTGCAAATAATAATAATAATAATAATAAACAGTTTGTCTGTCGGGCCATATAAAATCTCTTTAAAAAATGGTACCTACCCCCGCTCTGCCGTTCCATAACACGAACCCATTTTATATAAAGCCATGCATTACTTAGATCCCAATGCCAAGAATTCTCTCTTATTTATCCTCTCAACGGTTCAAATAAAATAATCACCGGAAAAGAAAAAACACGTATAGCGGTCATGGAGAATAACAAGAACGAGAAGCCACATGTCCTGGTGATACCATTTCCACAGTCTGGCCACATGCTCCCCCATCTCGACCTCACCCACCAGCTCCTCTTCCGTGGCGCCGTGGTCACCGTCGTCGTCACCCCTAATAACTCGACGTACGTCGACCCTCTCCGGCGACTCCACTCGCCGGAAAATCTTAGAACCCTGATCTTGCCCTTCCCTTCCCACCCTTTGATTCCCTCCGGCGTCGAGAGCCTTCAGCAACTCCCGCTTCAGGCCTTGCCCCACATGCTCGAAGCCCTCTCCGGCCTCCGGGACCCACTCTCCGACTGGCTCCGCCGTCAACCGCCGTCGGATCTCCCCGCCGCCATCGTCGGGAGCTCCTTTCTCAGTCCGTGGATCAACAAACTCGCCGACGAGTTCTCTCTCAAGTCGATCTGTTTCTTGCCCATCAATGCTCACTCAGTTGCCACCATGTGGGCTCAGGAAGACAGAGGATTCTTCGACGATCTCGAATCCGCCACCACCGCGAGTTACGGACTCGTCGTGAACTCGTTCTACGAGCTCGAGACTCAGTACGTTGAGACTGTGAAAGCCAAGTTCATGACCCACCACCGAGTCTGGACAGTGGGGCCTCTGCTTCCGGTGAACTCCGGCGTCGACCGCGGAGGACGGAGCTCCGTCCCCTCGGAGAAGGTCACTGCGTGGCTCGACTCCTCCGGCGAGAACTCCGTCGTCTACGTCGGTTTCGGGAGCCAGATCCGGCTGACGAAGCAGCAGACGGCGGCGTTGGCGGCGGCGCTTGAGAGAAGCGGCGTGAGGTTCATCTGGGCCGTTAGAGATGCCGCCAAGAAGATCTCCGGCGATTCCCAGGACGCCGACGCCGGAGAGGACGTGATACCAGCGGGATTTGAGGAGAGAGTGGCGGGTAAGGGGCTGGTAATCAGGGGATGGGCCCCACAGTCGATGATTCTGAATCACCGGGCTGTCGGATCGTATCTGACTCACCTGGGTTGGGGGTCGGTGCTCGAAGGTTTGGTCGGAGGAGTTGTGCTACTTGCGTGGCCGATGCAAGCCGACCATTTCTACAACACGAAGCTGCTCGTGGACGAGCTACGCGCCGCCGTGCGCGCCGGCGAGAACAGGGAATCTGTGCCTGACCCGGAAGAACTCGCCCGAGTCCTGGTAGAGTCGGTGAAGGAGGACCTGCCAGAGAGGTTGGAGTTCATGAAGCTGAGGGAGAAAGGTCTTAACGCCATTAAAGAAGGTGGGAGCTCCTACAATAACTTGGACGACCTCGTCAGGGAGACGACTCTGTAATTTTAAATTATGCCTGAGAAATAACTTAAACGTGTCGGTTATTTCTATTATCGAAATAATTTTGGTCAGTCTTTATTTTTGTGTTCTGAGTTTGGTGAATTCTTTCAATGAATTGCGGGCTGTAGAAATCTCATATGGAAATAAATTTCCTGGACCTCTATAGGAACGTGTAGAAAGGGTAAAGAGACCAAAGTCTCTGACTTTGATTTCAAACGACGAGAACGATTATTGCTGTCCAAATAATCTTAGATTCGGTTTATTCCGGTAAAAGACAAAATCTAGTTAATGCAGACAAGATCCGATTGACAAAAGAGGCGAATCACGTGGAAGGATAAATTCGATAGATCTGCAGTAATTGGCACTTGTCGGCTTACTCGTTACGTAATTTTCATGCTACGTGGAACCATTTCCGCCCCAGCCTCTATTTTTTTTCCCGCCAACAAACAAGAATATTAACAGTTGGGGTTCTATTTCATCTTAGGCTGCCATTGTGTAAAACCACCGAAGATATACACCATTCTTGACAGCGCATTTAGGGTTTATGGACACTGGTGAGAAATGACAACTTCATCTAGGTTTAGGGTTTTGGGGTTGTCCAAAGATATACACCATTTCTGAGAAGTGCTTTTAGGCTTTAGGGTTGTCCAACGCTATCAACACTGGTTACAATGGCGAGCTTCTATCAAACAATCTCGACCGACCGGTCGGCAACAATCCATCTGAGGCAATCCAGTAAAACAGGAAAGATTCTTACAATGGGAACACTGTATCAGTTTCAGGACAAGGCGGCATCGAAGAGGAAGCCCAAGACAAGTCTTTCGGAGCTCTCAGATTCAACATATTAAAGCTATAGTTAGAGCTCTCAGATCATATGGAAGCTTATATCTGCAATTTCTTCCTTGAATTTGCATCCCTCAGTTACTGATAGCAAGTAGGTCTCAAGTCAAATGACCAACCCAATTCGTATCCCCATCTAGTGGAGGTGTTGGGGAAGGAAATATACTAGGCCACCTTACCTCTACATTTTAATGCAGAGAGATGGATTCGAACTCGCGACCTCATACGCTACAGTAAATGGTTTTACGGTTGAACCAAGTCGGCCCTTCAAGTGGGTCTCAAGTCAAAACTAATAATTTCTACAATGTTGAGATTTCTTTCCACTTGTAAGCTACTACTCAAACATGCAGAGAAAACAAAGACTATGGTATTCATCTTGCCAAGAGTATATATAATCTTCGAAAAGGAAATGGAAATAACCAGAACTTGCCTCGAGATAGCAGGGAAAACACTGACTCTTGTTGCTCTTCTTGTTGCCGCCGAGAAGCTCGTCAGGAAACAACCTTGAGAAGCTTCTTCTGCTTAGACTTGGCGATTTTCTTCAATGTGTTAGGGTTTGTGATCTTCTGCAACTTGGTCCCCGATCTCAGGATGTTCTCCTTCTTCCTCTTCTCCCTCTCCTCCCTTATCTTCCTCTTCTCCATCTTGTTCCTCCTGATCTCTTCCTTTAGCTCGTTCATCCTCTCCTTGTACGCTCTCTTAATCTCCTTCTGCCTCTGCCGCTCCTCCAGGCTCGGCCCCTTGCTCCTCACCTGAACCGCCGACGAACGGTGCGTTCGCAGCTGCTTCCACTTCCTCCCAGAAACTTTTCCGGCGATCACGCCGTCGTATGTCGGTCTTCCGACCGGCATTGGCTTGTCCGGATCTTCGGAGGAAGCGACAGCGCTCCGCTTGGAGGGAGGCATCGCGGGTCCAGCACCGTCATCGATGTCCATAGATGCGCCGACATTGGTAGCTGTCTCAGCGGCGGCGATGGAAGATTCCTGGCATTCGCGCTTTCGCTTGTAGGTTTTGCCGCCGAAACCCTCGTCGAGATTCCTGAAATCTACGGTGCACGCCATTTTTTCTCTTCCCTGTGAGCTTCAGGCGATTTCTAGGGTTTCCGGCCTTTGTGATCTGCAGAAGACCACCGTTTAATTACACATAGAACATCCAAATCAACGAATACTGTTGAAATGGAGAATGAGATCTCTTACAAAACAGACAAAGATCAAGAACAATATATGAATCAACAAACCCACCATCGATACAATAATCAAAACAAGGGCAAGGCATCTCAGGTTGTGAACACCAAACCCATATTTAGCAGAGTTTAACTTCACATCCTTATCGAGAAACAGAGGGGAGGATCCGACAAACGAACCTTTAATCGGCGGCGGAGAGCGGGACTCCAGGGAGAGGGAGAGGACTGAGAAAACCTTCAAGGGTTGTGTAGATTTGTATAGTGCCATATTTGTAAATGCTGACAACGAGTAGTGGCAGAGCTGTGAGTTTCATTCCCAAGTTGAAAACCGAACCGAAACCGGTTCAATTATTGGACCGTCGATCTCCACCCAATCAGAGACGTCTTAAACCGGTATGAACCAATCACTGCCAGTAACGGCAAGAGTCCATTTAATTTAATGGAATAAATTAAAGAAAATGTCACCGTGACCAAGAAAAAAACAATTTACCACAATTGAAATTGTTTGTCTCAAGACATCGAGCCATTAAATGTTGAACAATATCTCTTAATTAGTGTGTGTTTATGTACACATACATATATATGTATATATATATATATAAGGGATTAGTATATATTTACATCCATCAATATATATAGTGATGTAGAACAAATTAGAAATTACTCAAAAAAAAAACTTGGATTACATTTACATATGAAGCCATATACATTACAAAACGAAAACACATACATACAAGCAACACATTCCCAGCATAAACAGACAATGCACTAATCTTGATTTCACTGTTTTTACATGGATGTCTCATTCGTGATTAACATCTTTCGATTTAAAAACAAAAAAAATTGGAGACGAACATGGCGACAATATCGCTCGAGACAAGCAGTTGGTAATTTGGAATAATTATGTAAAAAAAAAAAGGATAATATTGGAAATTAATCTAAAAGTAAACTCTTGATAATTATGTTTTTTTTCCTTTCTAAATGATAAAGATTAAGAGATGAACGAGATTTGGGAAAGTAAGATTAGGACAAAGCGCTAAAACCGCCACCTTTCATCATTTGTCTAAACTCTGTGTAATTAACCCTACCATCGCCATCAACGTCCACTCGCATTATCATCTTCCGGCAATCTTCCAAGGTCTTGCCTTGCTTGAGCCCCAAGGAAGACAAGACAGACTTCAGTTCCTCGACCGTGATGAACCCATCTCCGTTCTGGTCAAACACGTTGAATGCTTCCTTCATGTCCTCCTCTTCCTCGTCTTCGTCTTCCTCCCCCGTTATCGACTTGTAAAGCTCCCCGAACTCGTCCATGTCCACGCACCCATCTCCGTTCACATCGATCTTCTCTATGATTTGCGTCAGCTCCTTGTCGGGTATGTAGATTCCGAGGTTTTGGATCGATTCGCTCAGCTCTTTCTTGGTGATCCGACCGTCCCCGTTCTTGTCGAACATCTGGAAAACCCGTTTTAGCTCGGCTGCATCCATTAGGGTTTGTTTCTTGCGTTGGAAGAAAGCGATCGAGGGGAAGAGAATAATGTGACCCCCTCCTTGGCTTCTTAGAGTCCCGATTAGGGCAAGGCTCGCAATTCAGGTGAAGTTAACAGACAACAACCAACCAGAAAACCTTAGCCAAAAAGCTCTGTCTTCTCAACTTTGGAACACGAAAATAGGAGAGAGAGAGAGAGAGAGATTGGTTTGGGTGTTATATTTGTTGGTGGAGAGAAAATGTTGGGGATTTTTAAAGAAGAGAGCTTACTTATGGAATAAACAATAATATGATTATTCACGACTAATTAAATGAAAAAACAGATCAGCAAATCTTTTCTATCTAATTAAAATTCGCTTTAATATAGGAAAAGACATAATCTATAGATTTTTTAAGGCTTAATTTTTGGATTGCGTTGAATAGACACTGCATAAACAAAAAAGCAAATATCATTAGACGGATTTAATTGCAAAATTAATAGTTTAAAATTGGTAAGTAAATCCAAATAATAATTTAGAAACAGTGTCTCAACGTCTAAGCCATTCTTGTTTCGGACAACATTTGTAGTCCATCAGAATTTTAGTTACATGACGCACGTTTTATTTAAATAAATAATATGAAAACTCTTCAAAAAGTTTTTTTAATTAAAAATTACCAATTCTTCAATTCTAATAATTAAGTAAATCAAGAATGTCGAATTTCTATTATTTAAACACAACTGCAGCCGCAGGAGGTGAATGCCACTCGGGGCGACTGCTGCGCCTTTGAAAGTTGTTAATTAATTATTTATTTTAATATAGAAAAGAGTTTTGAATAGACTAAACCAAATTTGTTTATGAAATTTTAGTTCCATGAAATAAAAAATAATTCCAAATAAATAAGAATTCATTTCTACCGTTTTGTTGCAAAAATAACAACAAAGAGCTAAAAGTATTTTCAGTTAATTCATAATTTAAGACATAATATAGGGTTTTAATTACTCGATAAGGTGTCCTGGACATGACAGATCAGCAATGTCTTCATGCACCCCTTAACATTGGAAATGAATTTGGTAGCACGTTTGGTTTGGATCAATTTTACTAATATTTAACTTTTTTTTAACAAAAAAATATTTAAATTTAAAAAATTAAGTCAAATTTATTTGTTGATTATATATATATATATATATATATTCAGAACCAGGACGGAAAGGACAAAACGAGATTTCATGTAAAATAAACCAATTCTCGTATTCACGTCAACAAAGTCCAAAAGAATCATGGGACCAAAATAAAAAAGATAGAATTTTGTCTTTGTTGTAACACAGAGTGCAGCACTTGCACATTTATCAATTAGAGAAAACAAAGAAAAAGACTGATATTTTCATGAAGGTTGATGTTTTGAATTGAACCATATGGACCCTCTCTCGAGGCAAAAACAAGGAAACGACAATGAGATCAGAGACGAACATCGTCACTACCCGTGAAATTTATCAGAGTCCCCTAAGGCTTTTCTAGAAATTCAAATCCTGAATTTCTCTCTTAGATCTCGTCAAAATCTAGGGAAAACAGTTATTCAGAAGATCACGAGGGTGGAATCGGGATCAACATTTCGGGAACATCGAGAGAGTGTGAAATTTGTACGTACGGATCTGATGAGCTCGAGGTTGAGTTCATCGGGGCGGAGTAGCATGTCGGCGCTGGGATTCCGGTAGAACATGAACTCTCGCTCTCCGTCGCAATAATTGATCGTTATTGAAAATAATCACAAGAAAGTAAGTATGAAAATAAAACCAATAGTTTTTCATCTGAAATTTTTGAACGACAATAATTATCAACCAATCACTACAATTGGATCATCAATCGTTATAATAAATGCCTACAATCTTTATTGTAAATATGACTACAAAACCAATTCGAATAGTTTTCTATAATTTATTGATCTACATAATAAAAAAAATGGTGTAACCGTCCATGATATTTCATTGGTGATCCGGCTTCAAATGAGTCCATCATTATCTTTAAATTTTTACGACCACCTATAACAACAAAGTGAGAAGAAATCAATGAACAAAATTATTATCATTGACATGTTTAACCGTTTTAATTTGATTATTATTTAGTTTCATTCAATATATCTTTATATTTTTTATTAATCAGCGGAAAAAACGACAAATGACAATTAAGGGAATTATTAATTAGATTTTAAAAAAACTATGTTAATTATGATAAAGAGTATAAAGTTATTAACACGGCATTAAAAAACAATAGATAAAAAAAAAGTCCGTTTGTTTCGTCAGGGGGAAGACGATTCGCCGGTGCTCCCGAGGTTCATCGGTTCCGGGAAAATTCTGGTAACCTCACAATTTCTTGGTTAATCTCTCGTCTCGATGATTCTATGCTTTTCTCGATAAACCCAGATTGTTTTATCTCTATGAGAATCGGGAATTCGCTGGCGGGAGAATGAAACCCTAGATTGTTCAGGGTTTAGGAAATCGATGATATCGTTTCTATTCATTCTTACTGATTTGCAAGTTCTGAAGTCTCCAATTACTCTTTCATTCTCGCTCTCGCTTTCTCCTGAAATCTTATGGTTTGTCGACTCTATGCTCTCATCGATCTCTGCTATGTCTGATCGCTTTCGCATTCCCTCTGTTCATCGATGGGTTAATTGTTTCGTTGAGCTCTTAGGCTAATGCAATCGCTTAAATAGTCTCTGAAGTTATCTATGGAGAACGCTCTGTTCTATGGTCTCTCGCTCCCGGCCGAAGCCTCAAGTTTTGTCGAACTGTTCTCTTCCAGCTTTAGTTTCTAGGGTTTTGTTCGAAATTTCCATTATTTTGCTCGACGGGTATGTGGCTTTCTCCTTTGGGTTCTAACTTTCAGAAAGCATGTAGATTACGAGTTGAGCAGCCAAGCAAGAGAGTGGCTGTTGCACAATGTTCGAACTGTTCCATCTTGGATTATTTCGATATTAGATGCGAATAATTACTACATTTCATTTTATACAGTTTGTGAATATTCTAGGTGAATGATGGAATACATGCCTGGTTGTAGGAGGAACCTAGCAGATAGTGTTAGGGATGTTCCCGAGGTACTTTCAGATAGCAGTTTTCGAATATACAAGGTACTTTCTCTGCACTCACCGACTTACCCGTTTGTTTTCTCAGGAAGAAGACGATTTGCCAGTGCTCCCGAGGATCATCTGTTCTGAGAAAATTCTGGTAACCTCACAATTTCTTGGTTAATCTCTCGATGATTCTATGCTTTACTCATTAAACCCAGATCGTTTTATCTTTATGAGATTTGTGAATTCGCTGGCGAGAGAATGAAACCCTAGATTCTTCAGGGTTTAGGAAATCGTTGATATTGTTTCTACTCATTCGTACTGATTTTGTTTTCTGTTTTGTAATTCCCATCTTATTGCATGACTCCTGATTGAATCTCGGGAGTTATCGCTCGATTATCGATTCGCTGGATTTTGTTGCAAGATATGTTCTACATTCGCATTCGTTGGAGTTTCTATTGTTAATAGCTTTCCCTTTCGCTTTATTTCCCTGTGAATGCTTAAGATATACATACATGGCTTCTCCTGAAGAAGCGGAGTATCAGGCGTTTCTGGAGAAGGTGAAGCGAACTGTGTGCATTGACATCCTTACGCCAAATGTCACAGAATCGGTTTTTCGGACAGCATTCGATCAGTTTGGGATCGTCAAGAGTGTCCAGTTGATCCCAAACTATTTGGGTCTGAAGGAGCTTCCGATGACTGCTCTTGTGGAGATGGAAAGCGAGTCTATTGCCAATGCTGTGATCGGGACGCTGACACAGTTTCCTTTCATGGTTGGTGGGATGCCTAGGCCTGTCAGAGCTCGTGCCGCTAAGCCTGAGATGTTCAATGAGCATCCGAAGAAGCCCAGGAGACAGATTTTTTGCAGGTGGATTGAACCTAGTGATCCTGATCTCAGAAAGTCGAAGGAATTGAAACGGCTTGTGCATAAACATAGTGCTGAAGCCTCGTTTCTGCTCAAGGTGGCTCTGTTTAACCTATACATATATACACAATGTCATGTCATTTCTGACATGGTTGCTCTTCTGAATATGTTTGGGTTATGTTTTGCCTACTTTCCCATTTTCAGAATCAGCTGTTGTCGGAAGAGAAGCTGGCACAGCAACAGTTTGAGAATCTGAAGACCCATTACAAGAAGTATTCGATGATTGATAGACTTATCGTCGATAGGGTGGCTCAGGATCTGGCGGGGCGCTACAACATAAAATCTATAGATGATCGGTAGAGAACTTCAACTTCCTTTGGAGGAACTATACGGTTGTAGTGGATATGAGAAAGTATGGAACTGGCGAGTAAAATCATTAGGTAAATGTGGAAACCAAAGATGATATTTTCCTTAAATCATCATGTGGAGCTCGAGTAGTTTCCTGATTAGACTTGTTGATGCAAGATTCTTCGTATGCTCTGCATCTCCTTGCCCTTGTCTAGTTGTCTTGATGCTGATCAGACTGTTTTCTTACGTGGCTGGCTCAATGTCTAGATGTGTTCATGGTGAGCCCTCTTGCATGCATGCATGCATTTTTTAAGGGCATTTACCCTTATCTCGCAATGAAGTCGGGAAGCTGTCCGTTTTCTACAGGCAGGCTTTGAGAATCTAATACAAGTATGTAATGTTTTTTTTTTTGTCGTTGAGATGTAAATTGTATCAGTAAACATTCTTCTTGAATATTTTATACCAATCGGAATTCTATAGAATTATAAAAAAAAAATTCACCTTTTTACTACTGAACCGACTTGGGAGATTGTCAAAATACCAATTTACACCACAGGCAATTATGGCCGGGCTAATATAAGAAAAACGTTCAAAAAAGGAAAGACAAAACACGCAAGGAGGGTAATTTCGTAATATTCTCTTGGCTTACACTTTTCCGGCATTAATGGCGGAGAGAGGGACAATTTTGAAGTTTGATTTAATGATAAGAAAGACGAGCAGATGCCCACCCCCCCACTTCTGAGAGGGCGAGCGGGATAACTTTTCCTTCCGTATTTTTCCCTCGTCCTGGTTAATCTCCATATCTTTTTCTCATTCTATTCTATTTCTCTGATTAATTTATGCGAAACCGTTCGAATCTATACGATGTTGCGTGTTTTTTTGTTTGTTTGTGTTGATTTCGTTGATCAAGAAGCTTTCTTGATTTGATTACTCAATCTTCTTTTGTTCGTCGAATTTTCGACATTCCGTTTCGGGGTTCAGGCTGCTCCAGATCGCGATCTCGTCAGCTAGATGCTAATTTAGGGCTCTCTTTGGGTCGCACAGCTGGGTACAATCTTCTTACTCGCAGAGTTTTCCCAGAAAAATTCTAATTTTCAATTCAGGTCTGCAGCTTCTGAATGCGAAATCAAGAATCTGTCGAAACTATTTGCTTTCTGCTTGATCCTTTTCACTCTGCTACTTAGCTAGGATAAGATATTTATCTCAAGAACCGATCTTTCTCTCCTTTTTCCCTTAATGCTCTGATGAAGTCATGTTTTTTTTTTCAATTACATTCTGAATTCGAGACTTGAACAAGCTGTTAACTTTGTCTTTGACGAACAACAGAGAAGAGGGCTTGAACCACCGGAGAAAATGGGGGTTATGTCCAGACGGGTTTTGCCTGTCTGTTGTAGCCTCTGTTGCTTTTGTCCTTCATTGAGAGCAAGGTCAAGACAGCCCGTGAAACGCTACAAGAAGATGCTTTCTGAGATTTTCCCTCGTAATCAGGTGAATTTTCCAGTTCATGATTCATTAAGTTGTGCTTTCTTCGTCGCTTTATGTTTCTTAGAGTTGTTCTTGTGGTAATGAGGAGCTGGTAATGTTGTTGGTCTCATTTGCTAAACTTCTGTTGTGTGATATCTATAGATTATTAGATCTTTCGGTTGTTCCTTATGGGATGAAAAAATTAGGGTGGTTTTGAAGTGTGGATTTGGTAGAAAGGAACTTCAATGTTGTGGGGGAAGCCATGTCTTAGTAGTTGTCATTTTTAGTCTCAGCAATTTCACTTCTAGTTTGGTTGTGGACGTGAATCCATGTCTTTTGCTCTGCACTCTCGTGTAAATTTTTTCTAATGAATTCGGCGACTGGGGCTTAGCACCACAAAAAAGAAAGATTATGTAAGAAAATGTAAAGGTTTGAATGGATAAACATGTTTTGGTTTGGCAGGAAGCTGAGCCAAATTATAGAAAAATTGACAAGCTTTGTGAATATGCATCAAGGAACCCTTTACGAATTCCGAAGGTAGGCACAATTCTATATTTGCCATTGGTTGCTTATGATAAATATGGATGATAGTCTATCTATACTAGCTGTAGATTTGTAGGTACTGATTTATTGGCTACTGTAATGTATTACTCATGACTATGCAAATTTCTGGAATGATTGGATTCAGTTTTACGACTTCAGCATCATCCATATACTTAAAATTTCACTTTTAATCATCGGGTTGAAAATGAGTTAATTGGCATGAAAGAACTGATCCGTCTGTCATTTGCTACAGTGACATTTGAAGCATCTTTATCTGATTCTCACGTCCTCCGGTCTTTCCTTTTGACAGATTACGGAGTACCTTGAGCAAAAATGTTACAAAGATTTGCGAAATGGAAATGTTGGATCAGTTAAAGTAGTACTATGTGTTTACAAGAAACTTCTTTCATCATGTAAGGAGCAGATGTAAGTTATATATTCTTCACGATAGAAAAGTAGAGCTGCATAATCTGGTTAATTATATACCATGATTTATTTCTTTAAATTCATATCTCCAGGAGAAATCCTAGAGGCATGCTTTCTAGTTGTGCCAGACTACCCTTCCTTCTTTCTTTTCCTTAATGCTTGTCTTAATCGTCAGAAGTCTTCTTTCCTTCATGTCTTATTCCCTCGACTGATTTGTTTTTACACCGAAGAAATATCTTCTCTCTTTTGTTTTTTGATACATTTCCTGAAACTATACCACATTTTTGTAGGCCCCTATTTTCTAGTAGCTTGTTAAGCATTGTCCAAACTCTTTTTGAGCAAACAAGGCAGGAAGAAATGCAGATCTTGGGTTGCAATACTCTTGTTTACTGTATAAGTTGCCAGGTATGCTGAGTGTACATATAAATGTATATCCGATGAAGCAATATTTTCAACATAGTTACATGTTCCATTTACAAGCTACTTGTTCATTTGAGCTTTATAGGATTCACCGATTCACAGTTACCTTAATTTTTTTTTTATTTTCATTCATTGCCTCCAATTTGTTGAATTTTATCTGTTTGTAACATGTTTGATCAAAATCAGAGTGACAATACACACATGTTCAACTTAGAAGGTCTAATCCCTAGGCTCTGTCAACTTGCTCAAGAAGTGGGTGATGATGAAAGATTCCTCCGGTTACGCTCAGCAGGA